CCTTATCCCTGACCTCAGCGTACCGGCTACTAGCAACCTCTAGGTTGGTGTAGATGGTTTCTACATGGTTCTTCGCGGTGTCGAGTGCCAAATGGGTAGCACTTGTAGCACAGAGACGAATGGAGGCTTGAACCTGAAGTGGTGTTTCAGAATTGCCGGCACTCATGTAGAAGATCGGATGAAAAGCATGAAGCTGTAAAAAATTCACATTTCTTGCTGTTGCACCTGTGAGCCCAGAAATTGTTGGTCTTTTGTTGTATTGCAAGGTCACCACCTTCCTCTTCCCGCAACTTGGGCATGTTTGTCATGTCCACTCCGGTAAGATGTGGACCTTCTTGAGCATGTTGATGTGCCTAAGTCCGTTCAATTTCATGATGCTTGGAATATAGACGCTCCACCGCTAGTTGGCCACCCTGTTCTTGGCTATAGGATCTCCATGCCGTATGTAAATAAAGAACCTTCACGCTCGGTTTCCTGCTTAACCTGCCTCCTGGCTTTCTTCACCTTTTTGGGCATCTTACGGAAAACTAGAAAATGAAAAGAGTATCATCTATCATAAGATGCTTCAGACAAATGTTGGCGGCGATTGCTTTCAGCACTGCTGCATCGTGCTTGTGTAGTTTCACAGCAGCTTCAGAATGCAGAACTACATTTTTGTAGGACTCCCCATTTTGTATTCAAAGCTCCGGCACCTCCAGTGCTTCTGGATATTGCCAGGTGGCCGCTGCATGCATATTTCATGTATCCTCTCAAACTTCACCTGTAGCTCTTTACACGAATATACCTATAACATATTCATGCTTCATTATTATGTTTCATGCTGGAAAACAAGAAAGTTGCGGAATGTCTGAAACACATTTCTATCTAGTCTTCCTCAACGTCCATATCTTCCTCACCTAACGAAGGAACTCTTGGATTGCGTGGCGGCGTAGTTGCGTGCTGCTCATGGGGTACTGGGTCCAAGTCGCAGTAAACATTCCGGCATACTTGCTGGTTAGAGTGCCGGGGGCAGTGCCTCATTACAATAAAAAAAGTGTGGAAGACCCTACACTTCCAGGATGTGTGCATGATACTACCAGTAGTTACTACATATGTACATATATTACAAACATACGGTAACTCTCGTAACAATCTTGAATGTTATGTAGCCACATGCTTGTACACTTATTTGATACAGCCCTGAGTGTCTGCGCTGAATTCATAGCCGATGTCGTAGACGCGTGAGCGATCGGGCGCTGGGGTGGATGAGGGATGGGGAAGCATGTGTATGTATGTATGTATGTATGTATGTATGTAATGTAATGTAATGTAATGCAATGTAATGTAATGTAATGTAATGTATGTCTGTATGTCTGTATGTCTGTATGTATGTATGTATGTATGTATGTGTATACATATATATATATAATGTACTTGTACATAGGGGCAAAAAAGAATATGCTACAACTTTGGTCCAGATGCCAGTTGAGATGACGGTGGAATAATCGCAGGGTTTGGGGCTGTGGGTTTACACGGCTTCGTGTGTTCTCGCCCTAAGCCTCAAACCCTCAAGCCCAACAGACCCTTCCTGAACTAAACCTTAAACCCTAAACCAAGCCTGACTGCTGCCTAGGTTCTGACACGCAGAAATGGCAGCATTGAAGCTAACTGCATCTTTCCTTACTGTTGCCTTGGTCCCGTTTAGAGTTAAGGGTTTAGGGTTTTCGGGGCAGTAAAAACAACCCGAAACCCTAAACCCTAAACTAATAAGAAGCTGAACCCTGAACTTAAACCCTAAGCCCTAAACTAATAATAGCCTAAACGCTAAACTCTAAACCCTAAACTATAATAACCCAAGTATGCCTGCTCTTGAAACCAAACTGCAGACCAGGGGACTTAGGGGGCTTATAACTGGGGTAAAGGAGGAGATGTAATCGTGGTTTGAGGTTTAGGGTATACTTACCCAAACCCTAAACCCTAAACCCGAAACCCTAAATCTCCAAGTAGACTGGAAGGAAGGACTAAGGAAAGCCTGATCTTTGAGGCCTTTGCAGGCCGAACGCATAGAAAGTGTGGGATTCCTGCACCCCAACATTTTGAAGAATCAGCCTTACCTAAACCCCCCAAGGAATGTAAAATAATAGCCCTAAACCCAAAATGACAGCCCTAAACGCCATTCTTCTACATAAAGTATGTAGAATAATGGCCTTGAGGGCTGTTGTGATGGGTTTACGGCTAGTATGTTACATACTTTTTGGGGGGTTTAGGTATTCCTATCATGGACCCAAACCCTAAACCCTAAACCCTAAACCCCAAAACCTAGTTGCTGCAGGCATCGCCGCAAACATCCACTGCGCCCTACGCCAGGCTCCAGCTTTGCCACAGGCGCTCACGGCCATGTTGAGAGTGACGGTGTTGGTCGCAAGGCTGCTGCTTGGGCTTGCAGACAGTACCTCGCGTTTTAGGGTTAAGGTTTAGGGTTTAGGGTTGAAGGTTCCGGGTAATTATGATCTGGTCCCTGAATCTGAAACCCAAACCCGACACCCTACACTCCACCCTAAACCCTAAACCCTTAACCCTAAGCCCTTAACCCCTAACCCGATACCCTAAACTCTAAACCCTTAACCCTAAGCCCTAAACCCTCAACCCGAAACCCTAAACTCTAAACCCTTAACCCTAAACCCTAAACCCTCACCCCTAAACCCTAAGCCCTCAACCCTAAACCCTCACCCCTAAACCCTAACCCCTAAGCTCTGACCCTAAACCCTAAACCCTAAACTACGCTAGGAAGCCCTTCCTTCATTCCCTGCTGAGCACCTCTCCCCCTCATATTGCATTTCCCCACTCAGATCAGATATTCCCACTGGTTTAGGGCTTAGATACTGTTGATGGAGGAAATCCTGCACCGCCTTACATCCCTAAAGTCCTAGGAATTACACTAGTTTAGTGCCCCTAGGTGGTGCAAGTTTTCATCCATCAACAGTATTCCCACTGTGGTATACTATACGACTAATTAGACTTGGGAATTGTTGATGTTAGGGGCGGGGGAGGCTTGATGATGTGGGGGAAAGGTTTATATAAGCATGAACAAAACTCGAAAACCTAAAACCCTAAAATCCTAACCCTAAACCCTCTAAACCCTAGTCCCTTAAAACTGTACTGAAGAACCACTATGGGCTATTAGACCTGAAGGGTACCTTAATCTACCCTTAATAGGGTCCTTATAGGGAATTTTAGGGTCTAATAGCCCATAGTGGGAACCTTGGTGCTTGAAAGGCTGGTCTCCAAGAGCTCTTGTGCTCGCAGCTGCTGATGGCAACTCCCAGGTCAAAAACGGTTTTCTGGATACCACTTTCCTCATAGCCCTAGGGATCCATGTACACAAATATTACCTACATTGGGCCCTAAAGTCTGTAAATATTACCTACATTGGGCTATTTGGATCCCTAGGGTAGGGCTTAGGGTTGAGAGTTTCGGGTTTAGGGCTTGCTTGATACCATCTTCCTTAAGTGTGCGGTATCCATAACGTGTCCAAGCTTGGCCGTGCTCAACATATATGATCTATAGTCTAAACTCCTAGTATCTCCCTTAATGGCCCCTATAGTAGTCCCCACCCACTGGATGGAGAAGTGTCCTGTATGGCGACCAGCTGCCACAAAGCAAGTCCCCATGACCCACGGGTGGAACTGGCCTCTGCGCAAGATTTGGAGTCTGCTGCCCTAGCGATGGCGGCAGCCAGCATCGTGCAAGGGCCCTGCTTTGCCTTCCGCTGCACCCCAGTAAGGTCACCGCGGCAGCTGCTGGCGTTGAAAATGATGAGGCCAGCCTCCCTCCATTTGCTTGCAGCAGGACAGGATGTCTGAACAGGCTCTCCATGGCAAACGGCCCTTGAGAGTAGCAACACGCACACAGAGCAGGGTTTAGGGTTTAGGGTTAAATAAGCCGTGCATGCCAAAAAGATCAGCCAGAACTACCTAAAACGCAGGACACTCGAGGCTCCCAAACCATGTGTGCAAGTCCTGCTACAGGGGCCTAAATAATTACAAGTATCCTTTGGCGGTCTACTCTAGGTACCCTATACCATGAACATAGAAGGAAACCCAAGCCAGAGTATTGGTCGCTAAACTCAATCGGGTGAAAGTGTGAACGGCAAGCCCTAAACACAAAACCCTGGGTGGTTGTAGATTTCTTCCAGTAGCCCCGTTTCGCTTCTTGGCGAGTACGCTTGAAATCCCACTCATATCTACAAGTACCCCGTGTTCTGTGCGCACTGTGATGGGTTCAGGGTTTACCCTAAGCCCAAAACCCTAAATCCTAAACCTTAGACCCTAAACCCTAAATCCTAAACCTTAAACACCAAGCCCTAGAACCTTAAACCCTTAACTCCTTTGTGGGCTTGGTCTCAGATCCATGACTTTAGACTTGTCAATGTGTCACAAGATGAAACTATAGCCGGCTTCGCAACCTACTACATGGGGCTTTCCCACATTAGGGTCCCTACAGTCAGGACCATAGTATATTGGGTTTAGTCCCCCTATTTCGGGGAGCTGTGCTGTTACATGCTCATTGCATACTGACCCTAAAACCCGAAAGACACACTTTTTTTGCAGCGTGGGCAAGATGGGCATATCTGCCAGCAGTAGTGATGCAAGGTGATATTGTCCACCTGGGCTCTCGGGTTTCAGTGGTTTAGAGCTTCTGCAGAAGAAACCATTCAGAATTCAGTTGTTGACTTAGGGCTTCACCCTAAACCCTAAACCCTAAATTGAGGGTCAGGGTTTCGCGGAGGAGGGCTAAGACCTTCAACCGAACTGAATTCTCACAAGTCCATTTCTGTGCTAAGTCTTACATACTAGTGCTGAAAGCCAAAGCTGCAAAATCTTAAGCCCTAAACCCCGAATCCTAATCCAGCCAAATCCCAAAAAGGCTTATATCCCTCGTGCCTATCGTAAAGAACTCTGAGCCTCTGAGGGTTGAGGATTTAGGGTGAAAACCAAATCCCAAAATCAGCATCCAGCTGCCTTCTTCGCAGGCCTTCATTGCAGACGAGCACGTGATCACGTTGGATGGAACTTCCTTGCTACGGAAGACAGTCTTGGTTTAAGTTGGTTTAAGCCTTACTTAGAACTCAGGGTTAAGGGTTCAGGGTTTAGGGCCTTGGAAATAGGGTCAGCGGGCCTTAGTAAGTATACTTATAATCCCTATAAGCCACGTCATATCCCCAAGTATCGCCATTATTAGCCCACGTACTAGTGAAGTTCCCCTGACCCTCCAAATACGGCTTAGGGCTTAGGGTTTGGGGGCTAGGCGGTTGATGGAACAAATCTTGTGCCCCAGCAGTCCCCTGGTTCCTAGGAATTGCGGTGCTCAAGGGATGCACGGTGGCTGTGATTTCTCCGAACTGTATAGGGTTGATGGTTTAGGGTCCCTAAACCCACGGTATCCCCAGACTATCCCTGCATAAACCCCTACGTACATGATGTACATGTACATATATATGTATGCCATAAACCCAAAGCCCTTAAGCCTGAACCCCCAAAGTAAGTAAGATAATGCAACAAACCCCTACAAATAGCTGAACAGGCCATTATTGTACATACTGTTGATGGAGGTAATCTTGCACTACCTTAAGTCCTTAAAGTCCTAGGAATTACACTAGTTTAGGGCCCCTAGGTGGTGCAAGATTTCATCCATCAACAGTACTCTTGGGGTTAAGGGTTTAGGTATCTATGTGTAGCAGCTTAACCTCGAACTTGCTAAGCAGATCAGACTTTACATTGGGGCTTCTAGGCTGGGTGTTGGGCTTAGGGTAAAGTCTAGGGAATAGGGTGTGGGGTTTAAGTTGGGTACTCCCCCACCCCCCCAGTAGCAGTCTATATTAGGGGTCCTATGAAGGGCTATATATAACTATAACCATATTATAGTTGTTATCCCACTGTTACTGACGGGGGGCAGTACCCAACGTAACGGTTTCAGGTGTAGGGTTACATTGTAATCTAAAGCCCCCAACAAATCCAAAGGGTCCATTAGGCAATTATCACCTGCTCTGGGGATCAATCTACTGGAAAAAGGACCTAGGTTTTGGGGAGCGTATTCTAATTGTATACTTTGGAGCCTTAGGGAAACTGCGTATGAACGGGCCCCCTTATAAGCTACAAACCAAAAACCCTTAACTCTAGACCCTACACTTCTGTTCTTCTTTTGGATGATGCTAAACAAGGTTCAAGGATCCGCCTTTCCCATGTCCACCAGGAGTTGCACCGCAGCCGTCCAAGCGACGCTTGCCGCACATACGCTGATGGCTGCGGTGAAGCTCACGATATTGGGGCGGATTCCAGCTTTCTGCATGTCCTGGGCCAATTCACAAGGTGCCAAAATTGCGGGCCTGGCTGCCCGGAAAACTATTCCAACTACTGCGAACACCGCGGACCAGTAACATTGAGACACCGATCGACTCTCAATGCAAAGGCTCCGAACTAAAAATCCTCGACCTGGAATTCTACGGGCCCGGCTACCTGGATCAGGTACGTTTGTGAGCATTAGTAGCACGACAACTAACTCAAAAGAACCCCAAGCGGCGAACAAAATGCGCAAATCATCCTGAACCCCAGAACCCAATATTGGGATTATGTGGGGTGTTATATAGGGATAACGGAAAAGAACATGGAAACTACTATTCAGGGGTACAATATACGGGTATATATTGGGGATGTATATTCATATCTTGGAGAAATCTGAGCTACAGTCTAAACTCCCAGTATGCCCCTTAAGAAGCCCCATAAACCTCCCCTCGATAATTCCCCATGGAACCCCCCTTCTTAAGGAGTTTAGACTATAGCTCATCTGCTGCTGAACATGCTGGTGTCTGAGAGCAATGCTACGGCATATTGCCATCCACGACTCCTCTCGCAGGCACTGATAGCTGCATTGAAGCTGACAATGTTTGCCTTGATTGCGAGGGTAGCTGGGAAAACTTTAAAAAATACTGTAGAAATTAATTCAGGGCTTAGTGTTCAGGGTTTCAATGCAAAACGGAACACGTGCGCAGAGCCCAATTAAAAGCGAGCCCCTGAAGCCTGAATCCTGATCCCTAAGCAGGATAGAGTTTCCAGCAAGCCGGAGCCCTAAACCCTAAACCCTAAAATGGGGGTCCACCGCAGGGCTCGCGGTTCATGGAAATTGACACCAAGTCCTGCAGTCAAACTTCTCGGCCCTGTTGCCTCAATCCTCTCCTGCGACATATTTGCAAATAGCCTCAGGTGTCCAGTATCTAGAATGGGCTTAGGATCTATGCTTCATGGCTTGGGATCTAATTAGGATTATTTCGGGTCTTAGGTTAAGATTTCAGATTCAGGGTTTCTGGCTTATGGCTTTTCACGGGCCCACGTTTTGCTTACATCATACAACCCTAAACCCTAAACCCTAAAAAAATGGAGCTTGTCCGGGCTTGCCCACTGGCGAGGTAAGTAGCTGAAGAGCACGTTGCCACTCCCCGGCTCCGTTGCAGCTCGAAATGGCTGAGCTGTAGGTTATCCTCAATGAAAGAGATACTGTTGATGGAGGAAATCTTGCACCACCTGAAGTCCCTAAAGTCCTAGGGATTACAGTAGTTTAGGGCTCCCAGGTAGTGCAAGATTTCATCCATCAATAATATGAGTTGGCAAGGCTTTGGCTCCCTACAATCTCTAGAAGAGTTTTCCCCAGTAGGCCTCCTACAAGATAGGAGGGTTTCCAAAATTCGGGGTACCTTTTCGGTAACCCCATAAAAAGGACTACAGTATTTGGGGGCATAGATTTCGGTCCCCTACTTGGGGAAACTACTACATGTCCCCAACATAATCCCCATTATTCCCTCAAGAGTCTGCAACCCTCTGACTCAAAGGCTTTGAACTGTGGGCTTGTTCACCGATGTACCCGGAAATTGATACTAGGCTCGAGGGTTTAGAGTAAAACGTTCAGGGTTTCTGGTTTTAAAGTTAAGGGTTTACGGTTTGGTTTGGGTAAGGGTTTGGAGGTATTGCAAAGGTAATTCTGATCCTGTGCACTTTCTAGAGTCTCAATATCACTCGAAGCATCCCCCTTAATAACTCCCACAGTAGTCCCCTGTAATCCCCTATATAACCCCTTTAAGGAGTTTAGACTATGGTCTCGAAATGGGCTTTCCAAGGTCAACTCCCCGGGGCCTTAACCCTAAATCGTGGAGGTTCAGGGCTTGGAGTTTAAGGGGTTTAGGGTTGAGGGAGTTTAGGGTTGAGGGAGTTTAGGGTTGAGGGAGTTTAGGTTTGAGGGAGTTTAAGGTTTAGGGGGTTTGGGATTTAGGGCGTTTAGGGGTTACAGTAATCTGGTACAGGGGATAGGTAGACCCCCCACCCAGCAATAGTGACTGTAAGGGAGAATGATGATTACAGTACGGTCCTTTGACATTCCTATAATGATAATGCCACTATTACAGGCAGGGTGGGGGGGTCCACCTAACCCTTGCATTTTCCATGTGACTCAAAATAACCAAAACGCCATGGATAGTATGGACCCGAGGCCCAAAAGCCTGAAAACATAAGTCCTCAGAGCCTGAGCATACGTTCTGGCTTATGATATCTTGGGCTACGCGATATCCAGAAAACTTGCAGGGCTTCTGAAACCCTAGAACCTACACCCTAAAGCCTAAACCCTTCGTCCTGGGCAGGTGGGCATGAGCTGTGACAAGAAAACACGAGACCTCAAGAGGCAGGTGTCCTCCTTAAAGCAAACTCGTAAACTCTAATCCCTCAATGGCAAAGCCCGAACACAAAAGTTTCACCCTAAAGCCCAAAACCCTAAAACCTACGTATATCCAGCCTTAATCCCTAAAACCCCAAGCGATGCAAACCTAAGACCCACGTTCTGAGCCCTAAGAGCTCGCCCCCCTCGAAGACTCTAAGCCCACGGCCCTGGACCCTGAACCTTGGGTCAATCTCCCAACCAACCAGTACTGCGTACCACAAGGGACTGGTGTAGGTATACTAAGGCCCTATCAACTCTGTATTTAGGGGCTATTCCTGCAGGGGGGATTGACCTAACCTAAACCCCAATAGACCTCCTAAGAAACGACCAAGCGTCACATCTGCTGGAAGACGGGCGTTCATCATCTCTGACATCAACTGGAGGGATGTCTCCCACTGTCCGCCCTTCTCACATGCACCTTGCCATCGGGTACCCTCCCCAAACCCTAAACCTGAACCCTGAAGCAAACTAGCATGGAACACCCCAAATGGGGGGGGGGTAAGTTCTAGGGTTGTTTAGGAAAGTACGCCCCCAGGGACATATATGACTAGCACAGCAGCCCCTTCCGTATTTGACAACTTTTAAAACCCAATCATCAATATATTGCAGCGAAAAGAACACGAGCAATCAACACACAAACTTGTGACTACGCGTACCGTGGCGTCTGCATGTTCTCTTCTATGCCTCCATTCCCTGTTGACAACGGCAAATCCTTTGCCCAAAGCCCTGCACCCCAAGGCACTGATGCAAGCGTTGAAAGTGATCACACTTCTGGAAATTCGGGCTGCCGACATCTCCCCAAACAGCCTGAGCTTCCCATCGCAGTATCACCCTAAGGGTCCAAGGACCTAAAAAATAGGCCCTTAGAGCCCAAATACCATTCATATTATAGTATGTTGGCCCAAAAACCCTACTATTTGGGTTCTATATGCACCTATATAGTCCCCACATCCCTATATATCTCCCTATAAAAGCCTTTCTTTAAAGGAACCCTATTACTTAGGTCCTTGGACCTTTAGGGAAGGTTCATCTCGTTTCTTCGTTGGGCTACCGTTAGGAATCACAACGTCATACTGTTGATGGAGGTAACCTTGCACCAGCTTACGTCCCTAAAGTCCCCAAGGATTGCAGTAGTTTAGGGCCCCTAGGTGGTGCAAGATTATATCCATCAACAGTATTCCTCATCCGGTTTCGTACTATTGCGACTAGTTATTGTCATTGCTACTAGTATGACCATTATTGCTTGTTTTTTGTTCGCTGACAATACCATTGGAGTATTATTGCTGCTACTATTATTTCTACTACTACTCCTCCTCCTCCTATAAACCCTATACTGGGGCTGAGGGTTCCATTTTGGCTCTTATCGCTCTGGGTTTTGAACAACTTTGCCCCCTTTGGGCTTGCGTTTCAGTTGCAACAAGATTCTTTTGCTACCGCACCACTCAATATGAAAGTTTCCTAAAACTAGTATCCCCCTCAGAAACTTTAAGGGCTAAGAGGTTAGGACGTAGAGCTTAGGGCAGGCTTAGGGTTCAGGGTTTCGGGTCTAAACTCCTGGAGTCTCCCTTAGTAGGCCCTATAAACCTCTTCTATATAATTACCGATATACCCCCCACCCCCCCCCGTTAAGGAGCTTAGACTATAGCTCATATTATTCCTTCCCCATAAAAGGCAAGGATGCTCGACCAGATACCACTGAAAGGAGGGAATGGGTTACATACCTCTACACCTTCAAGATTCAAGAGTATAGCAAAGAAAATCTGTCTAGATAGGCCGGAAAGCAAGTTAACGAGAACACCACCGCAAACCCTGAACCGTTCTGTGCGGCTGAGAAACTGCACTGCCATGAGCCACGGTCCCCCTTTTTCAATGGCAGTCCTTCACCGTCCCTAGACCCAGTTTAAGGCCTGTGGCTTAGATGTTGGATTTGAGGATTGAGGGTTCGCCCATTTCGGGGACTAAATGTTTTGAACTTGCCTCTTGTCTAGCAAGGAGGGTGTAATGGGGTTGTAAGATCTATGGCAGGGATTATGTAGGGGCGGCTATACCTGGACCTCAAAAACAGAACAAATGACTGACCAAAAACCCATAAACTAGTCAAAAGGCTATCGTTGTATATACTTTGGGCGTGGTTCATACAGACGGAAGTGAGCGGCATGTGTACACCCAGGAACTAGTTGAAGGGTTCGTGACCTGGCGGGTCTCTACACGTATAGCTGTCCATTACAAAGTTTCGGGGCTTTCCAGCAATCGCCTGTGCTTAGCTAACGAGGTTTCGGCACTCAAAAGGAAAGCACGGGCTGCCCCTGCCCCAATCCGGTCAAACATTCCGATAGTTGCAACAAGTAGGCCATGACGCGCCGGCAGGAAAGCTTACCAATCCTCAATCCTAAATCCCCGCCTATACACCCTTAAGCCTAAGCCCCATGATTACCATACAGCCTGCATCCCAACGCCCAAAACCCTAAACTCTGAAACTGACACCCATACACCCTCTCAGCCATGAAACTTGAACCCCAAACTCTAAAACCCTAAACCCCCATACTATAATCCTGTATAGCTCCAAGTCAAATGTTGGCATTGGGCCCACGGGATCCTGCGATGCTCATGGTTTGGGGTCTTTGGGGTTTGATGTAAACACCTTGTTAATTAAACCGCCCTCCTTAAAGTAGGAATTATAAAAGGGATCCCCTCAAAAGGAGGTGGTTTATTAATCCGGGATCTACATTATAATTCTATATACCCCCTCCAAAACCCTCAAATCCCTAAACCCTAAACCCTAAACCCTAATCAAATCCCTATGAAACCCTAAAAGCCTAAACGGTGCGCCCAGGCTCAAGGCGGCGTTGAAACTAATCACATCTGCCTTGACCTGGGTTCCTGTTGAAATACTATTAAAAAGGGTTTAGGGTTTAGGGATTTAGGGTTTAGGGTTTAGGGATTTAGGGTTTAGGGATTTATATTGGGCCCAGGTATACAGAAAAATGTAACATGTTATTCAACAAAAACCCAGTGACGGCGGACTGGCGCATGCACGTAAGCAAGTGAAGTACCTCTGCAGGTTGGAGTCTTAGAGTCTTGGGGTCTTAGGGTCTTAGGGTCTAGGGGTTCAGGGATTTAGGGGTTTAGGGATTTAGGTATTCAGCCGTTCAGGGGTTGAAGTGTGCCAAGTTTAGGGTTAGGGCGTGGGTCCGAAGTTTAGGATCTGCTTCTTAGTTGCGGTTTCTCTCGATATTTGTCTTTTTGTTGTTTTTGTTCCCTTTCTGGTGGCTAGTAGGGGGAGTGCATGGCCGGGATCTAGAGATTACTGCTGGGATTACACGGCAGCCATTCATCCTTTACCCAGTAAGTTAGGATTCATGAATTCAGTGCCGCCTTGACGCTAACAAACTCTAAGCCGTGAACCCTAAACCCAAAGAGCCCAAGAGCCTAAACTCCCAAATGTTACCACTATGGGCTATTAGACCCTAAGATTCCCTATTAGGACCCTATTAAAGGTAGATTAAGGTATCCTTAAGGTTTAATAGCCCATAGTGGTAAGCCTACATCCTATTCGCCATGCCCAAGACCTCAAAAATGCGGTGTAGGGGCTTAGGGGGTTTAGGGGCTTTAGGGGTTTTAGGGGTTTAGGGTTTAGGGTTTAAGGGTTTAGGGTTTAGGGTTTAGGTTAGGCGGACCCCCCCACCCAGTAATAGTGACTACGATGGATAATGAGGATTAGGGTCCTCTTATATTCCCGTTATACCACTATTAACGGGTGGGGGGTCCTCCTAAGGTTTAGGGTTTAGGGTGCCAACGTGCCCTTGGGAGGGCTTTGTATCTTGCTCTGTTTGAAGCGGCTGGGGTTTAGTGTTGAAGCTGCTTTAGGGCTTAGGGTTTAGTTTTTTTTTTGCATCGGCTCATTTAGGGTTTAGGGTTTAGGGTAATGGAACGTGTGTCTATTTTACATTCATGATGGAGGGGCAAGCGTGTGAGCTAATACATGTTGATTCTGACCTCCTATCAGTTGGAGACACAGAAAACAAGCGACAGCTGCAAGACCGCTGCCGTTCAATAACTTAGTCTCCACAGCAAACAGTCAAAACATTGCAAGAACATCGACCCGATACACTGAACCTACACGCCAAAACCCTTCAATCTAAAACTACATACATCCTACGCGAAGGCAATGCTCCCAACACTACACGCTTCCCAAACGAATCCTGCAAGGATCAGGAAACCCTCCTAACTCAAAACCAAAGTGGGAAGGCGCTTTCTCCCAGTCGCCATTGCTAGCACAAGCACTGATGGTGGAGTTGTAGCTGATGACATCCTCTCTTCCCCAATAACCAATACTAAACAAAGTTCAAACTTCACATAGTTACAGAAAAAAAGCCCTAAACCCTCAACCCTAGTACCCTCAACCCCAACCCCTAAGGTTAAAGTTCTTCTATCGGCTAAGCAAGCATCTGGCGCTATGTCTGCCAGGGGCATCTGGTCGAAGAACTCTATGGCTCGGTGGCTTTGAGAACTCCTATGCTCTCGTATTATTATTAGGGTTTAGGGTTTAGGGAGGTTTCTTTTTGGGGTTTAAGGTTTGAGGAGTTTTCTTTTAGGGTTTAGAGTTTGAGGAGGTTGCTTTTAGGGTTTAGGGTTTAGGGAGGTTTCTTTCAGGGTTTAGGGTGTCGGGTTTAGGGTTTAGGGTTCAGGGTTTAGTGATCTTATCCCCCAATAATGGAGAATCAACTGGAAAAGAAAATGAAAAATGAAATGGAAGCTGGGATTACATAGCGGTTTATAGGGATTAGGGTTTCCGAAATTTAGGGGTACCCTTTTGAGGGCCCAAATGATAAGGGTTACAGTCCTTGGGGATCTATATTCGGATCCCCCTATACATGGAAACTGCCAATCATACCTGCATCGTCTTTAGTCTGTGTTGTGTTTACGTACTCTTTAAACTGCGACAGTAAAAACCTTCAACCACAAACCTGAAATTGCTCTTGAACAAATTCGAAGACTCTGTGTTAGGGCGCAGATGACAGAATTGTAGCTGATGGCATCGGGCTCCCCTTGGGAGATCTGCATGTCTGACAAAAGCTGCGCCGCCTTGCATAAGGGCAGCAGGAGGGGTTTAGGATTAGAGGGCGTGTCGCTGTGGGCCCTGCGTTTTTGCATGTAAGCTATTTGGAGAGTTAAACATGAGTGCGATGCTAAAGCATCATTATGAGAGTTGGGCTTGGCATTGGCCCTCTTGATCTATCCATGCTCAGGTTTAATTCTTGTGGCTTATGGCAAACAATGGAAAAGCCGGCAAATAACGACAAATCTACTGTTTGGGAATACACACATGTCTTAGAGTTCGTATTTGTAGTCCTAAGTCTCCCATCATTATTTCGAGCCTCATTTTTCAAATTTTCCAACAAGGAACGAGAAACTTAT